CGCTACACGCTACACGCTACAACACGCTACACGCTTTTACTCTATTCCCCTTTTGCACATTTTACGCGATATTCGTATATATATATATATATATATATATATAGATAGATAAAGCGTTTACCACCCGTTGTGCCATAGTCGTCGGTATCTTTTCAAAAATCATTAAGAAAAAATGAAAAAGAAAGAAAAAAAATATATATATATATGCTGACGTAGAGATTCGATAAGAAAAAAAAAATCATTTCTTTTCTCATTATCAACGATTTATAATAATACGCCCACACACAGGGGGAGAAAAAAAAAATATATATATAAAGAGAAAGAGAGAGAGAGAGAGAGAGAGAGAGAGAAATCTCTAGAGAAAGAATCGTGAGTAACTCGATTCATATAGATTTCCAATCGAATAACATGGCTTTTAAACTTTATCGTGTTTGAATCTGTCGAAAAATTCAAATTTACATTGCTTCTTCTTAATCCTTATCGCTATGGATAGTAATAAAGCTGCCAAATGCGTTTTTTATCGTTCGTACGTATGCGTGTGTGTGTGTGTGTGTGGGTTGCGCGGTTATATGCATTAGTATTAATATTTGTTTCGGTTTTTAATATTATCTACGTAATATTAATTCATGATGAATATCAATTATATGAAAAGCAGATTAGTTTCGTTTTTTTGAAATTCATCAAAATTTTTTCCCTAACTATTCTCTTTAGTCTAAGAATGTAAAATGATTAGATTTATAGAACGTACGATCGAACGTTACGATTAATAGACTAAACGACAACGAAGTAATTTATACTTTTTTTCTATATTTAAAAAAACTAATAAACGATCTGAACGAAGATACTTAACAAAATACATACGTTTTTTCTATCCTAAATCTAAACCATCGATACTATCAATCTCTCTCTTTCTCTCTCTCTCTCTCTGTCTCTCTCTCTTTCTTTTAAAATCAAAGTATAAAGTCCCTGTTTAATATCGAACGATGCCAGTTAAATAATGGGGTTTGTGCCAAAAGTTTCTAGACTAATATAGTCTCTTACGATATTTCGAAAGAAAGAACGAAAAAAAAAAAAGAAAAGAAAAGAAAAAAAAACAGAAGAAAGAAGAAAGAAAAAAAAAATATTAATCTACACTAAAGTCTCGAAAAAGAATTTAATCGATTTGTTATAATCATCTAGTAACTTATTGCCTCTAGAAAATACCGTTTACCTAGAGTTATCTAAAGTTTTCTGTTTAAAGAAGAAGAAGATCAAGTAAAGAAGAACAAGAAGAAGGCAAAAAGAAAGAAACAGGATAATAAATTTAAAATAGTAAATATATATATATACATATATATATATATATAAGAAAATGTTAAGCGCTACTTGTAATCACATACATATATATATATATACATAAAATAAATATGTATATATATATATATAATACATATATACAAGTATATAAATATATGTATATGTATACATATGTACAAATATATAAATACATACATATATCTGTATACACACATACACATATACATGTATATTTATACGATTACATTTTCTAATATGAGCTTTGATTTTCATTCGATTACTTACATACATACATACATACATACATACATATATATATATATATGTGTGTTTGTGTGTTGTGTGTGTGTGTATACATATATATAAAATCGAAGCTTACATTAGAGAGGTGATCGTGAAGTAGGTATAGTAAAGAGAAGTGGGGAAAGTCGAAAGTCGAAAGCGCGCTTCGTTTCGAGCGGCGCTTACATCACGAGGATGTAGCAGCATTGGCGTTGCTAGAGAGGAGAGGAAGGAAAGAAAATCCCAGCCAGCCGGCCGGCCTCTTCCCCGTTCCTACCTCCTCTCAACCATCCAATCCATCCTCCTCCATAACCTCCTCGTCCCTACTTCTACTCTTGTCGTTCCCGTGAGTGCCGCGGGGAACGGGCCGGCTTGCTCATGCGCACGACGTAAATGGGCCACACGCTCGTCGGTCCGCTTTAGGAACGAGGTCACGAAAATTAAATTTTCTGATTAACGGCACGCACACGCCCGGGATAGTAAGAGAGAAAGAGAAAGAAAGAAAGAGATAGAGAAAAATAGAGAGAGAGATAGAGAGAGAGAGAGAGATGATAATATATAAGTCAACATCATCATCATCATCATCTTCTTCTTTTTCTTCTTCTTCTTCATTCTTCTTCTTTCTTTTATATTTCTTCTTCTTCCTCCATCTTATCCCAATCTTATCCTAATATTACATAGGAAAAATTCATGTTTCTTAAGAGTTTAAATCAATTCATCCTTTTTTTCTTTCTTTCATTTTTTTTCTCTTTTTCTTTTTTTTTTCTTCCCATTATTGTTGAGTCATCGGGATTTTCCAAGTTCCAATTAAATAACTGGTAACTTTTATCGACATATGTGATCTTAAATGAATTTCTCTCTTCTCTCACTATCTCTCTCTTCTCTCTCTCTCTCTCTCTCTCTCTCTCTCTCTCTCTCTCTCTCTCTCTCTCTCTCTCTCTCTCCCTTCTTGATACCGTTTTAACGATTTCGAGAATATCATGTTGAGATCATGAATGAAAAAGAGGAAAAGTAATAAAATGAAATAAATATATTTGGAGGGCCCAATTTTACTCATGAAAAATCTTACCGCCCGTTTCTTTTTCTTTTTTTTTTTTTTGTTGTTGTTGTATCATCGAGATCTTCTAAATTTTAATTAACGAGTAACTTCGATCGATGTATATGATCTTAAACGATCTTCACTCTCTCTTTTTCTCTTTGTCTCTCTCCCTCTCTCTCTTTCTCTCTTTGGTATTATTTTAACGCGTTTGAGAATGTTATGCTGAGATCATCAGAAAGAAAAAGAGATAGATAGATAGACAGACAGTGAGTGACAGAGATAGAATACCTACTATGTGCTTTGTTGTATTATGTTTAGATGCAGTTCTTATATATATATATATATATATATATATATATATATATATATACAATGCAACGCGATACTGTGCGCGTGCGAATCAAAGACAAAGGTGATAGAAATTGAATGTGAACAACAGTGATAGTTCCGATGATAATGGTGGTGATGGTGGTAGTAATCAGCGTCGATTCTTTTCATACAATCTAAGTATACCGATCGTAATTTCTATTTTTATTTTCATTTTACGATTAGAAACTAACTAACTTAAATTTACATTAATACGTAATCGTTTATTATTATTATTATTATTATTAGTAATAGTAGTATTATTAATTAAATATAAAATATAAATTTTATGATTCATATATTAAATCTAAATGATAAAATATAATTGAAAATAATATTATTACGAATATTATTATTTACAATCATAAATATGTTACAATAATTATATTGTAGTAATCAATATTAATTTTAATAATAAAAACGATCAAATAATAAAGAATTATATCAAAGCATGTTTGATCAATCGACAATTAAATTCTTTTCCCATTTTTTGAGATAATCAATTAATTTTTCTTTCTTTGTCTTTTATCCTTTTGATGATTAAACGTATTGCCATATTGCCAGTTAATATTAGAAATTATATTTAACGAAAGATCGATATTTGAACATGGAGAATTAATTTTCTTTTTTTTTTCTTCTTTTTCTTTTTACAAAAAAAAAGAAATATTGTTAAAAGAAGATAAAAAATCAAGGTTACGTCTATGAGCTGGTAATTTAAAAGTTAGATGGCGTTAGAGAGAAAGGAAGAAATATAATAAGACAAAAAAGGGAAATATATATATAAGGGGAATATATATATATATATATATATATATATATATAAATTTATGAGCGTGTAATATGAAAGTTACATGATTTTAGAGAAAAAAAGAGAGAGAGAGAGAAAGAGAGTTAAGTATCTGTCGACGACAATTTGAACCTTTAGACCGTGACAATATCCGTGTTGGTTTCTTCGATGACGTTGCAATAGCTATGAAAATAATTTTACTAAGAAAAAATCGATGATCGCGAAAGAAAGAATTTTTCTTTTCTTTTCTTGATTTCTTTCCTATTATCTCGTTTTCTTTTTTCTTTTCTTTTTTCCTTTTACCCTCCTCATCCTTCCGTAATGTTCCTCTGTCATATTACAACTTAATAAGATAGTTTTTACTTCCGCGCATATTTAAACGGGAGTCAACCCTATTAACGTACGCGTTTCTCGTTTATGCGGCGCGCGCAGGCATTGCGCGCGCACGCACGCACGTACGCAACAGTAATCGGATGAAGAAGAAAAGGATAGAAAAGATTTAGCTAGCGATCGAGCGCGCACGTCCGAGCTGTCATCGCTCGTGCGTGTCTTTGGAAGTTTCGAATGGAAGAAAAACGTCGATGAGAATCGAACAAGAGAGAGAGAGAGAGAGAGAGAGAGATAGAGAGACAGAAACAAACAGAGAGAAAGAAAGAAAGAGAATCGCTCGATGCGCCGCTGCGGTGCACGACCCGCGCATGCGCAGAACGCATCAACTCGCCGGGAAAACCGGCGACGATCTCGGCCGGCGAAACTTTTCATCACTTCTCGCGATCGGGTTTTTTTATGGTCCCTTATCCTCTCATACACACACACACGAACACACAGATATCCTGCACTCCGTACTCCTTTTCTACTCATTTTCTAGAATTAAATCAAATCTACGGCAATGTTTTTACATTGATAATGGGAATCATGGGAAATTACGTGACAGAACGATATATGATACGCCGAAATGATGGAAATAAAGTTTCTATAATCATGGGGATTTTGTAAAAATCACATCTCCCTCGATAGTCGAACGTTAAAGCCGCGATTAATGATGGAAAAAAGAAGACGACGAATGCAATAAAAAAAATTAACTCTCTCTTTCTCTTCCTCTCTCTCTCTCTTTCGATTAGCACCAGTAAAGGAATATAAATATGTAGACAAATAATAAAAATAAAAAAAAAAGAAAAAAAAAAAGAAAAGAAAAAGAAGAGAAAAAAAAAAGACAAAATTTCAACTCAC